GGGGGGGGGGGGGAATCAGGGGTGCATGTATCCAACCTTTCTATTTTAAAAGGGTGGTCACCCTAGCATAAACTAAAAGCTACTGCCACCAAGGAACTTGTGGCTTGTAGCCCAGTGGGCTCAGGTGCAGCACACGTCTGGGGAGCTCAACCAGATCCATGATCCACTGACATGCATTTATTTATCACAAGCGTTTTGTGATTGAAATTGCAATATAAGAAACTCAAGGGACTTACCTGGAATAGAATAACAAAGGCCAAGCGAGCAGATAAAACTGCCCAGTATTGTTTAGAGAACTCATATTGATTGGGGGACCCAGGTGGTTCTCTGTAATCTTTGAATCTGTAATGAAGACAGCTGAGTTAGTGCATATTTCCACCAGTTTCTTATCTATACATCACAATTTGATTAAGACAACTCTCCAGCAGCTCAATCAATATATTCATCACCTAGTAATAGCTAAAACTGCAGAATCAGATCTTAGATCTACCAAAACTGATCTGTAGTATCTCCATCACATGTAGCATGGCTAGTCTGATTCTACACAGATGTAACCAACATTAGAAATATGGCCTTTGTGGCAGAAATTTTCTATTTTTGCTAACTATCCTTTTGGAAAATGCAATATAGAATTATTCTGGTGTTAGAGTCCTACAATATTGAAAATTAAACTTTAAAATATGCTCCAATAATTGAAAAAAGCAATTAGTAGCTTGATGCAAGGACTAGTGCTAGAACTGGCTATATTTACTACCAGTAAAGATTTGGAACAGAAAATAACAGGATAAAAAACCCTCAGATGCTACTAAATTGGAATGTTTTGCAAATATCTAAAAGGACAGAATTCCACAAAAGGAGTGGTGAGCAATTTTAGTACTGAATTTACTTGAAGAGATGATGACCATGATTATAAGATGATCCCCCAATAATTAGAGTCTATATATGGAAAAATTATAAATTTGATATACTTTTCCAAGTGTAGAACTTAATTATTGGAGTTTTGCCTTGAATTTTTCCCCCTCCCACTGCTACAACAAAGAAAATAAATGTGAGGGTTAGGGAGCATCCTTACCATCTACCTTCTTCCAACTTCTTCCCCTAGCAAACCTTATTGTCAAACCCTGCTCTTTTTGAGCACATGGAAGTGAGGAGGAAATATGAAAACACTGCCCTTAAAATAAATAAAGCTACAGTAATTTACACATCATAGAATCATAGAAAATTAGGGTTGGAAGGGATCTCAGGAGGTTATCTAGTCCAACCCCCTGCTCAAGGCAGGACCATCCCCAACTAGATCATCCCAGCCAAAGCTTTGTCTAGCTGGGTCTTAAAAACTTCCAATGATGGAGACTCCACCACCTCTCTGGGTAACCTGTTATGGTGTATTAGTACCCTTCTAGTGAGAAAAATTTTCCTAATACCTAACCTAGACTTCCCTTGCTGTAACTTGAGACCATTGCTCATTTTCTGTCATCTGCCACCACTGAAAACAGTCTAGCTCCATTCGCTTTTGAACCTCCTTTCAGGTAGCGGAAGGCTGCTATTAAATACCCTCTCAGTCTCCTCTTCTCTAGACTAAATAAGCCCAGTTCCCTCAGTCTTTCCTCATAAGTCATATCCCCCAGCCCTCTCACCATTTTTGTTGCCTTCCACTAGACTCTTTCCAATTTGTCCTTTCGGTATTGGGGGACCCAAAACTGAACACAGTACTCCAGATGTGGCCTTACCAGTGGTGAATAAAGGGGAATAATAACTTCCCTTGACCTCCTGGCAATACTTCTACCGATGCAGCCCATTATGCTATTAGCCTTCTTTGCAACAAGGGCACACTGTTGGCTCATATTTAGCTTGTCCGCTGTAACCCCCAGGTCCTTTTCTGCAGAGCTGGTGCCAAGTCAGTCAGCCCCTAGCCTGTACTAATGCGTGGGAATGTTCTGTCCTAAGTGCAGTACTTTGCACTTGTCCTTTTTGAACCTCATGAGATTTATTTTGGCCCAATCTTCCAGTTTGTCTAAGTCATTCTGAATCCTAGCCCTACCCTCTGGTGTATTCACTACTCCCTGCAGCTTGGTGCCATCTGCAAACTTGCTGAGCATGTACTCTATGCCATCTTTCAGGTCATTGATGAAGACGTTGAACAAAACCAGCCCCAGGACTGACCCCTGGGGCACACCACTTGATACTGGCTGCCAACGAGACATCAAGCCATTGATTACCCTCCAAGCCCAATGTTCCAGCCAGTTTTCTATCCACCTCACAGTCCATTCATCCAGCCCATACTTCCTCAGTACCTATATATAGTACCTATAGTCTTAGTTCATCCAGAATTGATGCAGTTTACCTTTTCTGAAACTGCTGCAAGCTTTAGCACAGGTATTCCATAAACACACGTTTAAGCAGGACTTAAGCACTTTCTTAGATATAGTAGAAACTATGCAAGATATTAGCTCAAAGTCAGAAGGGCCCAGGATTTACCATGTAGTTAACAGTACCAGCACAGCCAACAGCACTTCAAGCCATAGTGACCCCACAGCTTAGCCCTGCTCAGCTGCATGTGTACTCCACATACATCCCCCACCAACTCATTCTAATTAGCCCCCAACTCATGACTGGAACTGGGTGTTCTTGTCATGAGTCATGGGATCCTACAAAAATGTTTATGTAGATGGCCAGGCACAGGGCAACCTGGTGGAAGGTGGGACCAAAGGTGGGACCACACTAATCATACGTGATAGACTGAGAGAGGGGGCAATAGAAGGATTATGGGCGAATTCTTTTGGGGCACCTTTTGGTGATGTTTGCCAGACATTTAAGGCTGATGAAGAAACAAGAATAATTGGAAATGGGAAAAAAAGGTACAGTGCAGCTGTGGGAGTAAAGAATAAGCAAAGTAAGTAAAAAAGGTAGGCAATGTAGTAGCTTAATACAACTTGAAAATGAGTCAGCACTAAAGGGGACTGTGCTCAACAGGCTCTAGCCTAAGATAGTAGGTGGTTGTGGTAGGTTCCCATCAGCATGTTTTACCAATATTGGCTCTATGTTTTATAGTCAAACTCAGTGTTAACTGAATTTAATTATTTTCATAGTTGGCTTCCATTACTGAGCCCATGCTGCTTTTGGCAGCAGTTTAACGATAGACAATGTATTCAATAAGGCTTCCTTGTATGTGAATATACAATGAGGAGCTTCCCCCACACCCCCCGCCCCACCCCATGCTGATTGAGGCCAAAAACCATATCTTGTATTCAACTAAATATGGTATATATGAGCAGCATCTGGGGAAAAATTATTATTAGTAAAAACAGAACAAAATGGCAAAAGAGAATCTAAAATATAGACCTGGAAAAGACAAAACATTTGAAAGAAGAT